CATGATGGGTCATCTAAGCATGGAGCGGGTAAGCTGAATGATAAAGAGGTAAATCTCAAAGACCTTCCTTTTCCTAATTCATACTTGATAAGCAAAAGAAAGACTGAAACTAAATTTGAAAAAGATGTTATTGATTTGTTCAGTAGAGTGGAAGTTAATATTCCTTTGCTTGATCTTGTTAAGAGAGTGCCTGCTTATGCTAAATACCTTAAAGACCTATGTACCCATAAGAGAAAGTTTAGACCAAATGAAAGAGTCCAAGTGAGCTCCAATGTGTCTGCCCTGTTTAAGCCTCAAATCCCTGTGAAATGCCAAGACCCTGGATCCTTCACCATCCCTTGCACAATAGGAAAAGTTTCTATAAGGGGAGCCTTACTAGATCTAGGAGCAGCTATTAATGTGATGCCTAAGTCTGTATACACTTCACTAGGAGTCAAGACGCTTAAGTCTACCACTGTAGTACTCCAGTTGGCTGATAGAAGTATTAGGTATCCGGAAGGCATCATAGAGGATATTTTGGTTCAGGTTAAGGATTTGGTCTTTCCTGCTGATTTTTATGTACTTGATATGTCCTCTGAGCTTGTTCATGACACCACACTGATTCTTGGTAGACCCTTCTTGAGGACTGCTAACACTATGATTAGCATGAAAGAAGGTACCATCACTATGGAAGTAGGAGATCATAAGGTTTGTTTTAACATGTATGAAGCAATGAGGCATCCTTATGAAGACTATTCTCTCTTGGGTGTAAATATGATTGATGTTGCTGTTGATGATGTCTGTTCTGAGTTTGAATTGCTAGATGATTCCTCTAGTTCTGAACTTTATTCAGTTAATTCTGATGATGAGGATGACACTATTTCTTCTTTTTCATCCCTTTACTCTACACCTTCTTCTTGCTCATGTGGTGATAAAGATACATGCCTTGATTGCACTGTGTTTAATTGTATGCTCTCCCTCCCACATGCATTCTCTATTTCCTCCCTTGACTCCAAATTAGACTTTGATCCCTCTATTGTCAGCGATAATTCCCTTGGGGAAAGGTTTTCTGTTGCTATTTCAGATATGGAGGACGAAGTCATGGAGGAGATCCCCTCTAAGGCAGTTGCTGTAGATCAACTACAAGTTGGTTCAACGCTTGGAGAGGAAGCTATCTGCAAGGTTGAGGAATTCTCACTGATTGAAGGAAAGGGGAGTAATCTTTTCTCTCTTGAACTTCATAATTTGATTCCATCTATTGTGCAACCACCTACTCTTGAGTTGAAACCCCTGCCCCCTACTGTGAAATATGCTTTTCTAGAGTCTGATGAGCGATTACCGGTCATTATAGCTAACTCCCTGTCTAAGGTTGAGGAAGAAAGACTCCTTACTGTTTTGAGAGAGCATAAGAGGGCTATTGGGTGGACTTTAGCGGACATTCCTGGAATTAGTCCAGCCATTTGCACACATAGAATCTTGCTTAGTGAAGGTTCAAAATCAGTGAGACAACCCCAGAGAAGACTAAACCCCCTGATTCTTGATGTGGTTAAAAAGGAAATTACCAAACTTCTAAGTGCTGGGATCATCTATCCCATATCTGATAGTGAGTGGGTTAGTCCAATACATGTAGTGCCAAAAAAAAGTGGGGTTACTGTTATTAGAAATGATAGGGATGAGCTTATTCCTACAAGAGTGCAGAATTCCTGGCGTGTGTGCATAGATTATAGAAAACTCAATGATGCCACACGAAAAGATCATTTCCCTCTTCCTTTCATAGACCAGATGCTTGAGAGACTTGCAGGCAAATCTCATTACTGTTTTCTAGATGGTTTCTCTGGGTACTTTCAAGTACCTATTGCACCGGAGGACCAAGATAAGACCACTTTTACATGCCCTTTTGGTACCTTCGCCTATCGTAGGATGCCTTTTGGGTTATGTAATGCTCCAGGGACTTTCCAACGTTGTATGATGGCTATATTCTGTGAATTTTTAGAAGAATGTATGGAAGTCTTTATGGATGATTTTACTGTTTATGGTGGTTCTTTTGATGATTGTCTTGCTAGTCTTGAAAAGGTTTTGAAAAGATGCATTGAAAAGAATTTGATTTTGAACTTTGAAAAGTGCCATTTCATGGTCAATGAGGGGATAGTTCTAGGACATTTGATTTCTAAAAAAGGAATTGAAGTTGATAAAGCTAAGATTGAGGTTATATCTTCTTTGCCTTATCCTGCCTGTGTTAAGATATTAGATCATTTTTGGGTCATGCGGGATTCTATAGGCGATTTATAAAAGATTTTAGCAAGATTGCTTTACCTCTCTCAAAGCTTTTACAAAAAGATGTGAAATTTGATTTCGATGATTCTTGTAAAGTTGCCTTTGGTGAATTGAAATCTAAACTCATTTCTCCCCCTATTCTTGTTGCACCCAACTGGACCATGCCCTTTGAAATTTCATGTGACGCTTCTAATTTTGCTGTAGGAGCTATGTTAGGCCAGAGGGAGGAGAAGCTCTCAAGAGTCATTGCCTATGCTTCGAAAACACTGGATGCAGCTCAAGTCAACTATACCACAACAGAAAAAGAGCTATTTGCAGTTGTTTTCGCTTTAGAGAAGTTTAGACCTTACTTGTTAAATTCTCATGTGACTGTTTTCACTGATCATGCAGCTGTTCGCTATCTCCTTAAGAAACCACAATCGAAGCCACGATTGATTAGGTGGACATTACTTCTTCAGGAATTTGACATTGAAATCAAGGATAGAGCCGGGGCTGAGAACCATGTAGCCGATCACTTAAGTAGGCTACCTGATGATACACGGGGAGTAGACTCTTCTGAACTCACCTGTGATTCCTTTCCTGATTCAGTATTATGTGCTCTAGCTGTTAAAGAGCCTTGGTATGCGCATATTGTTAATTATCTTATAACCGGACTCACCCCTCCTTTCATGTCTAAATTTCAGGCACAAAAACTTCAAAGCGAATCGAGGCACTACATCTGGGATGCCCCTCACTTATGGCGGATATGTAGTGACCAAGTTATCAGAAAGTGTGTGCCTAGTGAAGAGTTTGAGTCTGTCATTACAGCTTGCCATTCAATGGTTTGTGGTGGTCATTTCAGTGCAAGGAGAACATCTAGGAAAATTCTAGATTCTGGTTTTTACTGGCCAACCCTTTTTAAAGATTCTTATGATTTTTGTCGGTCCTGTGACAAATGTCAACGTTTTGGGGGGTTAGGTAAAAGACATGAAATGCCTCAACAACCTTTACTGTTTTGCGAAATTTTTGATGTTTGGGGGATTGATTTCATGGGTCCCTTTCCTTCGTCCTTTGGTTTTATATACATTCTTCTGGCTGTTGATTATGTTTCCAAATGGATAGAGGCTGTACCTACTAGAAAAGATGATGCCCAAGCGGTTTCTAAGTTTCTTAAGTCCAACATTTTCTGTAGGTTTGGGATTCCAAGGGCTGTGGTTAGTGATAGAGGTACCCATTTTTGTAATAAAGTGGTAGATAACTTGTTTTCTAAATTTGGTGTCACCCACAAAGTCTCCACTGCATATCACCCCCAAACTAATGGCCAAGCTGAAGTGTCCAATCGAGAAGTGAAACAAGTCTTGGAGAAGATAGTCAAACCATCCAAGAAAGATTGGAGCCTAAGATTAGAGGAAGCATTGTGGGCCTACAGAACTGCCTATAAGTCGCCAATTGGAATGTCTCCTTATCGTTTAGTCTTTGGCAAAGCATGCCATCTACCAGTAGAGTTGGAGCATAAGGCATATTGGGCAGTCAAACAATGCAACATGGATTTACAATCTTCTGGGGTGGAGAGGAAGTTGCAGCTGCAAGAGCTTGAGGAACTGAGATTGGAGGCTTATGAGAGCGCTAGACTTTACAAGGAGAAGACAAAATTGGTGCATGATAAGGGTCTCCTACGGAAGAACTTCAAGGTGGGAGACAAAGTGCTGATGTTTAAGGCCAGATTCAAATTTAAGCAAGGAAAGTTCAACACCCGTTGGGATGGGCCTTACACAGTCACAAAGGTGCATAATTTTGGAATGGTGGAGCTTCTCGATGAGAAAACTGGAGCAAACCTTAAAGTTAATGGCCATCAGTTGAAGCTCTACCATGAGAACCAGAAACCCCCTTAGCTCCCTGGTAGTTTCTTTCCTTCACTCATTTACATGCTTTTGCTTATTTGTTAATCTTGTTATGTTGCATGTGTTGTATGTTGAATGAGTGTGGGGGAGAAACTCCCTTCAGTAGGAAAGTAGAGTAGTTATAGCTAATTTCAATAAGACTCCCCTGGTAGTTTTTGATCTCTCTCCTATCTTGTTTCATGCCTGATGAATTGGTGTTTTAAGTGAATTATATGATTCAATTTGATTGAGGAATTTTATCTGTGGTATACTGCCTATTCATGGATTTGTTGAACACCTCTTGATCTCTTTTGAGGCATTTTCTAAAGTTTTTGAAATATCCAGCCTTGTCTGTTGTTGGTTGTTGTGTTTATCTGGGTTTTAGTGTTTTTTGTTTTTCTCTGTGCGTTCTGTGGTGTTTCGCCGCGGCAACTTGTCCTTTCGCCGCGGCGAAACTCGGCCGTCCTGTGTGTTTCCTCTCGGGATTGTTTCGCCGCGGCGAACTTATGTTTGGCCGCGGCGAAATGTCTTTCTTCCTGTGTGTTTCCTCTCGGGATTGTTTCGCCGCGGCGAACTTATGTTTGGCCGCGGAAACGTCTTTCTTCCGTTGCTTTTCTTCTCAGGCATAGTTTGCCGCGGCAAACGTGCCGTTTCTGCGGTGCGCCGTTTCGGTTTTGCTGATTTTTCGAGTGGTTTTCCTGTATTGCCCCAATCTGAGCCGCCCACCCCCTTTTCCCTGCAGCCCATTTTGGTCTTTTCACTGTCCCACTCCATTAAACCCCTATTTATTCCCCTCTAATTTCAAAACCGTCGCCCCCCTTCTCTCAAACCGTCGGCCCCTCCCTTTCCTCTCCCTTCCCCCTGCTCGTCTTCTACTTCGAAACCGCAGGCGTGCTCTGCTCTCATTCTATTTCCTTCCGCCGCTCAGCGTCTCCTCTCTCGTTCAGCTTGTTCGGCGTCGTGTGTGTGTGCTCTTCGGCCTTGCTCTGTTTCGTGTGTGTGTTCGGCGTTCTCCCCGTCCGTGTTCGTTCTCCCCTCCTTGGTATGTTCTTCCTTTTCCCTTGTTCTTTCCTTTAGTTTAGTATAATTTAGTGGTTTATTAGTTTATTTGTTCTGGTTTTTGCTATTGGATTAGTTTGTGGTTAGTGTAGTTGCGTGGCCTGTAGGTTATCTAATGATTCATAGTGCATTGTCTTTTTAATTAATCTATTTGCTTAATTTTGAAAATTTTTAGTCCTCTGAAAACCTATGAATCATTAACTAACCATTTGCCCCTGTTAGGTTTTAAGTTTGTTCATTTCTGTGTTGTTTAGGTTGTAGGTCTTTTTGTTGTGATTAGTGTTCTTTCTGTTGTTGCTTCAGGATATGCCTCGCACCAAAAACCCAAACCCTGAACCTTTACCCGTGTCTGAGCCTGAGTCTGACTCTGAGGGACCCATAACCTATGATTCCATCTATAGGGTAGTGGACAAGCGCCCCCTCCTTAGGGAGAGAGCCTTTCCCCTTGAACCATCCGACCATCCTTTTGTCCAAAGACTTCAGGAATCCCAAATGCTTGAATTGGCTCGCCCACGAGCTAATGGTAATGATGTCTTTGTCCGCCATTTCTACACCTACGCCCGTCTTCATGGTATGCTATCCATTCCTTTCCGGGGCAAGCATGTGAACTACACTTTCACTATTTTTAACATAAGAGACCACTACCGGCTTCCTGTAGTCCGTAATTGTCAGTACTCCCATTATAGTGATAATTATCCTTATGATGAGATCCTCCAGACCCTATGCCGGGATGGTGCCACTTGGCATCGTCCCCGCACTGCTGAACTGTACCTAAAACGTTCTGATTTTCGGCCTGAGGCAAAGCCGTGGCTACACTTAGTCTGCAATAACATCCTACCTACTTCCCACCTCCAGAACCTCCCCAAACGCCAAGCTCTTATTGTTTTTCTCCTCATGACCGGCAAATCCTTTGATGTAGCTGAAATCATTCAATCCGCCCTCCATTATTCCGTCAATACCAAAAAAGTCACCAATAGCATCGTCTTTCCCCATCTTGTTTCTGACCTTTTCCGCAAGTGCGGAGTTCCTTCATTTGATGATGACAGCTACTTTGAGCCTGCACCTCTATTCCGGTTTGAGCGTCTTAAACTGCCCACCATTGCACCCCACCCACTTGTCCACCCCGTATACGATGTTAGTGCAGGCCAGGCCGCCACTGATCCAGCCGAGGAAGGCCCTGATGTTCCCGAACCCCCCCAGCCCGTCACCTTAGACACGCTTGCCGATGATATTGACGAGCTATCTGAGGAAGTTCATCAGATTCGCGTTACACTCATTCGGGAGATAAAGCGGCAGAAGGACCGTGACGCCCTCTATGAGCGAGAACGTCGCTACCGCCGCTGTTTTGATGCTTTGCTTACGGATCGTTTGAACTTCACTTTACCGGCTGAGGAGGAGGAACCACAGCACCATATGGGTATGGACGGAGCAGGCACATCGGATGCAGGACCGTCAGGATCTGGAGCAGCTGACCCTGAGCATCAGTCTTAGTTTTCTGTTTTTGTGGTTTTCTGTTCTTTTCTTTAGTTCTTTTGTTTCTTGTGTTGTTTTGAGGCTGGATTGTTTCTTACACTTTATGGTGCCTCATTGGTTTTTACGCTTGTTCACTTGGCTGATTTCTGATTAGTTTGCTTTAATCTTTGTTCTATTTTCACTTCTGAGCCTCCTTGCATTATTTGCTGTCCCTAATTCACAAATTGAGGACAATGTTGTGTTTAAGTGTGGGGGAGGTCTATATTGTGGATTTTAGCAAATGCTTCTCGTGCATCCATGCATTTAGATGATTTTGAGGTGTTTTTGAACTGATAGATTGGTTTAATTGTGAATATTTTGAGTTTAGTTGCTGAAGAGTTGAAATTGCACAGGAATTTTCGCTTTCTGCCATGTTTCGCCGCGGCGAAGCCTCCTCTTTCACGAATAATAAGCCATTCGGGCATGTTTCGCCGCGGTGACCCTCTTGTTTCGCCGCGGCGAACCCTTAAAAAAAAAAATTTAATAAATTCCTTGCAATCTCAGCTGGTTTTCAAAAATTTTTCCCGGCTTAGAATCTTCATACTCCTGCATCCTTTCTCAAAATTAGTAGAAAAGTTCAAATTGTACTAGTGCTTTTAGAAAATTTTCATGCTTTTAAATGAGGGTTGAACTTAGACTAGTTATTCTCATGTTTTTGACAGATAGTAAATGATGATGTGCTTTGAAATTATGACTATGTGGTTGTTAACTTTTGAGATTGACTAATTGAGATTTGAGCCTTGTTGGAAGGATTTTTGGACCTTAAGTTATTAAATTGAGTGAATCTGCTTAGTTCATATTTCTCTAGAACTTGTTTTCGTTCTTAATCGAAGCTCAGCGAATCAATTTTTGTAAAAATGATAGAGGCATTCGATTTCATACCCGCATTTCCCAAACACAAACCTAATCATTTTACCATTGCAAACCCTTTTGAGCCTTCATCTTGAGTACATGCATGCAACATAAAAAAAAAAAGAAGAAAAATAAAAAAAAAGAGAAGAAAGAGAGAGAGAGAGAGAAGTTGCTCAGCCAAAAAAAAAAAAAGAGAGAGAGATATAAATATTAAAAATAAGTAACTTCTCTCCCAGTTTTTATTTAGACTAATTTTGTCTTAATAATTTGTATGTTCGTACTCATTTTCATTTTCATGTTCATTCTCATTTCATTCATTCCGACTGACCTCCATTCAAAATTTTGACCCTTAAAAGTCCTCTTGATTTGCAAAGTTGTTTCCCACGGTGGAGAGGTAGAATTATTACAAGCCTATGGTAGAAATTGGATTGAGTAGACTTGGAGTGAAATAACCCTAAAGACAAGTGAGTTAAGAGTGAAACACTTATCTGTGAGATGGATCTTTCTTAATCAATCTTTTAAGTTAATTTTCCTTTGTCCTCATTTTCTTAGCATGTCCTTGTTTACTGATGTCAACTCCGTGAGAATTTCTTACTAATCTTCTACTTTCATCTTTAAGCATGGTAGTATTTCTCTTTGTTCTAGTGTCACTTTGAATTATTCTCGCGCTTTGTTCAGGAGTACAAAGGTCTAAGTGTGGGGGGATTTGATTGAGCTCAAAATGTTAGTTTCTTTTCATATCATTATCCATGATTTTGTCATACTTTCTGGTCCCTTTTTAATGAAAATTGTGTTTAACTGAGATTTATGGTGCTTACTTTAAGTTAGTGTCATTTTGAGGATTAAATTGTCATAATTGGTTGTTAATTGGATTCAATTAACTTCTAGGACAATTGATACTTCAATTTGTTACTTTTTATTGTAGGACACTAAAGATTTGGGGCCAGAGTTGAAGAACTCAAGGCAAAAGAAGCAAGAGAAGATCCTCTGCCTAAGTTCGCCGCGGCCAACATCTCACTTCGCCGCGGCGAAAACCCACCCGTGAAGACAGGTCTCTGCCATGTTTCGCCGCGGTGAACCTCTCAAAGCAGCAAATCTCAGACCTGACCATTTCGGGAAATTTTGACCTACCCATCCCCAAAAACCGACCCATGCACGTAAGTTTCGGGTTAGAAACCCTATTTTGGGTATGATGACAGGAGATGACTATCATTCAGCCTCCACCTTCATATTTTTCATCCTCTTCTCTCATTTCATCTCAGAAACCCTAATCCCATTTCCATTTCTTCCATCTGCTGCTGCCATGGCTGAAGAACAATATCTAGTTGGAGTTGGTTCAAGAGTTATGACTAGCTAAGCTTCTCAACTCTTGAATATGGTGGAAGGAGCATGAGTTCCAAGAGCTTAAAAGGGGAGTAGCTTCATCTATGAGTTCTAGTTCTTTATTTATGAATTTCTAGGTCTAGGATTTGTAAATTTGAGCTGAACTATTTTGATTATGGTTGTAATCAATTCTGGATGATCATTTTGTGTATTGGATTAGTTAATGTTGAATTTGAGCTTTAATATATGTGGTTACATATATGTTTCTATGCATCCCTGTTGATACTCTCTGTCCTGCATGGTAATGTGTGATTGTTGAGTTGATCTGAGCTTGCATTTAACCAAGTGCATTAATTAATCTTAATACACACACCAAGTGAGCTTAATAGGATCTTATGAAATGGGTGACATTGATTAAGATCCTAGACTTAAAGAGTTCTTTAAGGTTTTCATTAGAAGACTTGGTGATTTCTACTCCCAAAATTATTTTGAACTATGATTGCTTCAAAGCTGTATTCAAGAGATTTCATATCATTAACTTCACTTCATTACCACTATCTTAGAAAAATCCAAAACATAGTAACTTAGATTAGTATTCATTGCATTTAGTTTTGGCATTTCATTAATGGCTAAAAACACCAAAAACCCCCTTTTTCATCACTCTGCATAGCATTAATCTAACTTAGACATCTAATTTAGGCTCCCAAAAGAGAACGACCCGAGTTTGCACTACTGCATAGCTTGGATAATTTTTGAGCGAGAACCTCTAAGCGAACGACAAGATAAGGCTCTCTTTCAATACCACAGACAAACTTTCTCAATCAATTTGAATCATATAATTCATTACAAGCACCAAATCATCAAGCACAAAATAAGATAGGGTAGAGATCAAAACTTTTAGGGGGTTTTATTGAATTCAAACAAGAACTACACTACTTTCCTACTGAAAAGGGTTTCTCCCCCACACTCATTCAACATACAATGCACAAAACATAGCAAGATCAATAATTAAGCAAAAGCATGTAAATGAGTGAAGGAAAGAAACGACCAAGGAGTTAAGAAGGCTTTTGGTTCTCATGGTAGAGCTTCAGTAGATGGCCATTAACTTTGAATCTGGCCCCGGTTTCCTCGTGTAGTAGCTCCACTATACCGAAATTGTGCGCTTTAGTGACTGTGTATGGCCCATCCCATCTGGTGTTGAATT